CTGTGCTTCTGCTTGTCCCTCACCTTCCTGATGGGTGTGCTTGCCTTGGCCTGGAAGGGGCTGTGGAGCCACTTCATGCTGGCATTTGCTTGTGCTGGGCCCTGTGCCTCACTCATGACCCCTGGCCAGCTTCCCAGACCCGGCCAGCAGCTGAGCCCTTTCATTTGCCCAGCACGTTCTTAAAAATGGAGTTTGAAGGCCAGGTACGGTGGATCATGCCTATAATCCCAGCACTTTGGGAGGCCAAAGCGGGTGGATCTTGAGGTCAGGAGTTTGAGACCAGCCTGGCCAACATGGCGAAACCCTGTCTCTACTGAAAATACAAAAGAAATTAGCCAGGCATGGTGGTGGGAAACCTGTAATTCCAGCTACTTGGGAGGCTGAGGCAGGAGAATTGCTTGAACCCAGGAGGCAGAGGTTGCAGTGAGCTGAGATTGTGCCATTACGCTCCAGCCTGGGTGACAGTGTGAGATTCTGTCTCAAAAAAAAAAAAAAAAATGGAGTTTGAAAACCTTCAGGCAGGGAGTGCCCCCATGGCCCCCACCACCCCCTGCTGTCACACCCTGTGGCTTGACCCCTTTTAGCCCCCGCTGGGACCCCAGGGTCCTGCTTCTCTTTCCTTCCTGCTATCTGACTTGTCCTGTCTTCCCTTCTCAGCTGCAAAGGCTACCTGGGCCCTGGCAGGTCCCCCAAACTCCAGCACAACCCTTGTACGTTTGCAGTGTGTTAAGTCAATCATTTCTAATACCTTTTTTTTTTTTTTTAAGAGATGGAGGGTCTCACTTTGTCACTCAGGCTGGAGTGCTATGGGGAGATCACGGCTCTCTGCAGCCTCAATTTCCCGAGCTCAAGCAATCCTCCCACCTCAGCCTCCTCAGTAGCGAGGACTACAGGCATGCATCACACCTGGCTAATTTTTTAATTTTTTTGTAGAAATAGGGACTCACTTTACTGCCCAAGCTGCTCTTGAACTCCTAACCTCAAACAATCCTCCCACCTTCGCCTCTCCAGATGCTGGGATTACAGGTGTGAGGCTCCGCCTCTAACACTATTGAAAAGGAAGGTAGAGCTCTTGCAGAGCCTAATTTACAATCAGTTGTGCTGGTAATCGTGAATAGAAATGAAAAAGGAACAAATGATGAGATTATTGATCAGTCTTTTGTTTCTGAAGGCATCTTTTATTATGGAAATGTTCACATATACACAAAATAGAGAGCACCCTGTCATGCGCCACCCCCCCATCACTCTGCTTCTGCGGTTAGCAACATCTGCTGAATCTTGGGCCATCTCTTCCTCCCGCAGCCTCCCCACCTTCCCATACACACATTACCTGCCCCCTCCCACAGCAAGCTGGGTTATTTTAAAGCAAATCCAAGATGCCATAACATTTCAGCCATAAACATTCATACTCTTAAGTGATATCTCCAAGAGATAAGATCTCTTTTTTTAAACATAACCACCAATATCACACCAAAAAAAATTAACAGTAATTCCCAAATATCATCAAATACACACAGTCAGCATTCAAATTTCCCCAGATTGCACTCTTTTCCATTGATTGGGAGAATTAATATGTTTGGCTTTTATTTTTTAAATTATCTATTGAATGTCTTTTTACAAGTGGTTTATTTGAATCTGCACTTGGTTCGTATGTCTCCTATTGCTTCATCTCTAACTGTTCTCCCCGACTCTTGGGTTTTTATCTGTTTTGTTTTTTTTTTTTTTAGACAGAGTTTTGCTCTTGTCGCCCAGGCTGGAGTGCAGTGGCACAGTCTCGGCTCACTGCAACCTCCATCTCCCAGGTTCAAGCGATTCTTCTGCCTCAGCCTCCCGAGTAGCCGGAATTACAGGCGCCAGTCACCATGCCCAGCTAATTTCTGTATTTTTAGTAGAGAGGGGGGTTTCACCATGTTGGCCATGCTGGTCTCAAACCCCTGACCTCAGGTGATTCACTGCCCTCAGCCTCCCAAAGTGCTGGGATTACAGGGCTGAGCCACCGCACCTGGCCCCTCCCCTTGTTCTTTGCCTGTCACTTATTGTTTTGTTGGAAACCCAAGACATTGGCCCTATAGACCTCGCTCTATTCTGGATTTTGCTGACTGCATCCCCATGGAGTTTGTTTGTGTGAGATGGTGTCTCACTGTGTCACCCAGGCTGGAGTGCAGGGGCAGATCACGGCTCACTTAAGCAATCTTCCCACCTCAGCCTCCCAAATAGCTAGGACTACAGGCATGCACCACAACACTCAGCTAATTCTTTTTTTGTTTTTAGTAGGCAGGGTCTCACTATGTTGCCCAAGCTGATCTCAAACTCCTGGCCTCAAGCAATCCTCCCTCCTCAGCCTCTCCAAAGTGCTGGAATTACAGGTGTGAGCCGCCATGCCCAGCCCCCCATGGAGTTTTGACATTTCCCTGTATATCCAATATTTCCTATAAACCAGTAGTGAACCTAGAAACTTGTCCAGCTGAATCTGTTTCTTTGGCACGGATGCTTCCTAGGTGGCACCCTGCACTTCCCGCTACATCACATCACAAGGCCCCCATGTCTGGCTGCTTCCCTTCCTGTTCAGTGAGACTGAGCAACGGACACAGGTGCTTTCTGTTCACCCTGTGCTGATCCCCGGACAGAGCCACACTTCACAAGAGGGTCACACCGCCTATACACCCAGGGAATAAAAGGGCACTTCAAGTCGCCTAGTTATTCTCAATATTTTTAAATTTCAGCCTCAAACAGAATGCAATTTCATCTAGTTTATAAAACTTAACATGCATATACGGCTACCTCAAAGTAATTGATCCAACACTTGGCCAGTTAATACAACCCAATTTTACATTTACCTGTACACTGCCAGCATTCATACTAGAGTTATTCTGCTATCACACAGAGATTTCAACCTTATTGTATACTTTAACAAAATTGGTATGTGAAATGGATACTATGTCTATTTTACTTAAGGGTTATTATTTTGCAGAGTGACTTACTACATGGAAAAAAAACTGTATGATCCATATTAGTAGGAAAGTAAATTTTGGAGAAGGATTATGTAAAGGAAATTGTGGAATTGGGAATCAGATATTTCAGGCATGAAGACAAGGCAAGAACAACAGGAAATCATGGTGTTTCCTCTTTTTTTTTTTTTTTTTTTTTTAAGACAAAGTCTCACTCTGTCGTCCAGGCTGGAGTGCAGTGGTGCACTGCAACCTCCACCTCCCAGGTTCAAGCAATGCTTCTGCCTCAGTCTCCTGAGTAGCTGGGATTACAGGTGCGCGCCACCACGTCCGGCTAATTTTTGTATTTTTAGTAGAGATGAGGGTTCACCATTTTGGCCAGGGTGGTCTCGAACCCCTAACCTCGTGATCTGCCCACCTCGGCCTCCTAAAGTGCTGGGATTACAGGCGTGAGCCACTGAGCCTGGCCAGGTGTCTCCTCTTAGCAACCAGTGAGCAGCAGGAAGGCAACGGAACTCAGCAGGACCCAGCCCTCCCGGAGACAGGGCTTCCCTGAGAGCCTGGCTCAGGCACACGGCCGGGTCGGGGTTCTCGTGTGGATATTTACAACACCACCATGAAGATAAAAATATTGTCTTATCTGTAGCATCTCTATTTATGTAATTATTTTTCCTTGAAATCAAGGTATTCTAAAGTTACATTGTTTGCCACGCTGCCTGTTTAATTACTTCTCACAACTTTGGCCACAAAATTTTATGCAGTTATATTTCCAGTTCTTATACGCTGCTCTGCTCTATGTTTAGATTTGGTTAGAAAATCTGATTATTCTTAATTTCACCAGGAGCTCTCTTTTTTATTATTTCTTCCAAATAAAAACGAATAGTCAACTTCATTAGGCATTATGACTAGAAAATTAAACACTAGTTGTGGAGAGAAAAGTAAGAATGCAGCCCTTTTATTTTATTTTTGAGAGAGAGTCTCACTCTCGCCCAGGCTGGAGTGCAGTGGTGCCATCATAGATAGCTCACTGCAGACTCACCCTCCTGAGATCAAATGATCCTCCTGCCGTAGCTTCCCCAGTAGCTGGCACCATAGGTGTGCACCACCATGCCTGGATAATTTTTTTTTTTTTGAGACGAAGTCTTGCTCTGTCGCCTAGACTGGGGTACAGTGTCACAATCTCGGCTCATTGCAATCTCCACCTTCCGAGTTCAAGTGATTCTCCTGCCTCAGCCTCCCCAGTTTCTGGGATTACAGGAGCCTGCCACCACACCTGGCTAATTTTTGTATTTTTAGTACAGATGGGGTTTCACGATCTTGGCCAGGCTGGTCTTGAACTTCTGAACTCGTGATCCACCCACCTCGGCTTCCAAAGTGCTGGGATTACAGGCGTGAGCCACCATGCCCAGCCTAATTTTTTTATTTTTTGTAGAGACAGGGTTTCACCATGTCACCCAGGCTGGTCTTGAACTTCTGGCTCAAGCAATCCTCCCACCTTGACCTCCCAAAGTGCTAGGATTACAGACATGAGCCACCACGCCCAGCTGGCCCTTTTAAGTTTGAGCCCTTCAACAGGATCTAAATCTGGTGCTCAGGATAAAATATTGCCTCTGGTGTTTTCTTCCCATAATTACAGTATTACAGAGGCATTCTTAATGTTCCCTCTTCAAATTAGAAACAGCAAGTTGAAATCGCCTTCTAACATGGAGCCCGGATGCCAGTATTAGAGAACAGATATTCAATTAACAGAATTTGTAAGTAAAGCACCATTTCCCTGTAAAAGTAAATGCATAGGATACTGCCAGTCATTCAAAACTGAGTTTTGCACAATGTATGAAGCATGAATATTCTGTGCCCCTGGTTTTTAAACGGCTGTTTCCCCCAAAGAAAAGGCAACTTCTGGTATGCACCAGTAAAACAGCAGCCTTTTTACATTGCTTTGCATAAAGATTTACAAGTGTCCTGGGATGTGGGAGGCCAGTCTATCACGAGACAGACTCTAGCGATGCCGCCTTCTTTGCCACGGTGATCAGTGGCACACGCATAGCCAGTGTGTGTTGGCGAGCTGGTCTGCTACTTCAGCCCGGGTTTAAAACCCAGGCTTACTTTCTGTTAACAAATCGCACGTGGATGGGCCCCCCTGGCGTCAGGAGCCCGTGGGTTTTTGCATGAACAGCTTTAGTCTGAGAAGATGTTTTGATCTCAAAATGTTGAAGCAACTAAGAAGAGAAAGAGAGAGAATGGGTCAGAATTGGAACAGCAGAAAACTCCCAGTGCTCCCTGAATGCTTTTACTCCTGTGGGCACTGGGCTGCAGAGAGCCGAGGCAGTGAGCACCCAGGTCCAGCTTTTTGAAGCTACAGAACCTCGGGGTCAGTAGGGAGCCCACTGTTGGGGACAGAACTCTAGATCCCGAACTAGAGCCTGGCATGTCCGCTGAGCAGCTGCACAGCCGGTGGGACAGAGGTGCAGGCAGATGCTCAGATGGCTTAAGTTTCATTGACCATTTCAAATTCTAACTCTGTTGCTTCCCTTGTAGGTGCAGATGAAGAAGGCGTCAAAGGAGCAGGGGGAAATTCAGAACAAAGTGAAATTCTGTGTTTCCTGCTGCTTCCGAATCTGCAGCCACTTCAGACCTGGCCAGAAACAGAGGCGGAGAGAGCTGAATCCAAAAGACTTCGTCATGCTCCTGTCCTGAATTTAAATATTCTTGGTTCGTACCTTTGATTCCATTTTTCATTTCTACAGTTCAAAAGCAGAACCGGCCCTGCCTCCCAGGGTGAAACTGGAATGTACCTACACACTGAGTTTGAAAGAACACCAAAGTAGCCATCACCCTAAAGCAATCATCTCCCGCACCGGCCGGCCAGGGCTTGATGTTCAAAGTCAGCCTGTGCTTAGGAATACACAAGTAACCCGATCTAAAGACTTCTGTCCACAGACAGACTCCTGCGGGGAGGGCAGGCCTTACTTGCAGCCCATTTGGACAGTGCAGGGGCAGAGGAGCCAGTGACACCACAGTCTCCTACTTGGGACCCAGGCTGTCCCTGCCCTCCTCTTTCTCTCTCTCCAGCTTCGTCTCCCAGGCAAGGAAGCTGCACCTAGGATGGGCTGGGGCTCCAGATGGAGTCAGGCAGGCACCAGGGCTCAAAGGTCAAGGCTTGCAATGGGGACGCAGGCAGAACTCATGCCTTTGTCACTGTTAAGGAAATGAACGGAACCGCATGTCTTAAGGCAGCTCCACCATGTGCTGCCATCTGGGTGGCTCAGCTTAAACACCTAACCTCTGACCCCTCGCACTGACCTCTTGGAAACGCCTGCTCATTCCCATGCACTAGAGGGAAGATTCACACGTGGGTCTCCTGACTTCAAGGCCATCGTGCCACTCAGTATGTTTCCTTTTCTGAGTGGTTTGTTGAAAAATTTAAAACTATGCAGGAGGCAAAAGATAACACTGTCCCCTCTCCCACATCCAGTTTCCAACTCCCAGGGAGTTGGGGTGGATCTTCCAAACATGCTTCTGTTCAATCAAATATCTTTTTCCTGATTTTAAGAGAATACATTAATATCACACCATGAAAGCTGTTCCTTTCCTTCCCAGAAGCCTTCAGGCATTTCCCTGTACTGTTGGGCCAGACACCATTTATTTGGCTTAGAAAGGCCACACCGTGGGGATTTGAACACTGAGAACACCTGGACACAGGGAGCAGAACATCACACACTGTGGCCTGTTGGGGGTGGGGGGCAAGGGGAGGGAGAGCATTAGGACAAATACTTAATGCACGTGGGGCTTAAAACCTAGATGATGGGTTGATGGGTGCAGCAAACAACCATGGCATGTGTATACCTATGTAACAAACCTGCAGGTTCGGCACATATATCCCAGAACTTAAAGTTAAAAAAAAGAAAGAAAGAAAGAAAGGCCCACTGCTGCTTATGTGCCAAGAGACTTTCTTCATGAAATGGTGTTGAATTTTATCAATTATCTTTTGGGGTGATCATGTGATTTTTCTCCTCTTTATCGTGGTGAATTCTACTGACAGATTTTCTCTAGGCAGACCATCCTTGCATTCCTGAATACGCCTGATGGGTGAAGATGCCTTTCTGTTTCATACATTCAGCCTGCCAACTGTTCATTTTGCATATGTTTCATCTTCAACTATTAATCAGTCTGGTTGGCCTATAGTTTTTATTTTCCATTTCATCTTTTCCAGGTTTGACTATCAAGGTTATTGCAAGTCTCCCAAACTGAGACTTCCTTTTTCTATTCCCTGTTTGTATACCATGAGGATTACCTGTTCCCTGAAGATTTGACAAAACTTCCCAATAATCCTGTCTGGGTTCAGGATACTTTAGGGGTAAATCTTTTTACTACTGACTCATTTCTTGGATCCGTTCTCACTGATTCAGTATCTTAGGTCTGTTCTCTTTCATTTGAGTCGATTTGGATCATTTCTACTTTTTCTAGTAAATCTAAGTGCTTTATCTAAGTCTTCAAATTCATGGAAAAAAAAAAGCTGTTTGAGTTATTTTCTTGATTTAAAAAAAAAATCACCTCCTGTCTCTACAGTTGTGTCTCTCTGCTCATTCCTGGTACTGTTCTTTCATTCCCTCTTTTTTTTTTTTTTTTTCTTAACAATTAAAAATAATGGGCTGGGCCAGGCACAGTATCTCACACCAGTAATCCCAGCACTTTGGGAGGCCAAGGCTAGTGAATCATAAGGTCAGGAGTTCGAGACCAGCCTGGCCAACATGATGAAACCTCGTATCTACTAAAGATAAAAAAAATTAGCCAAGCATGGTGGCGGGTGCCTGTAATCCCAGCTACTCGGGAGACTGAGGCAGGAGAATCGGTTGGACCCAGGAGGCAGAGGTTGCAGTGAGCTGAGATTGGGCCACTGCACTCCAGCCTGGGCGACAGGGCAAGACTCCATCTCAAAAAAAAAAAAAAAAAAAGGAAAAAGAAAAAGAATCACGGGCCGGGTGCTGTGGCTCACACCTGTAATCCCAGCATTTTGGGAGGACAAGGCGGGTGGATTACTTGAGGTCAGGAGTTCAAGACCAGCCTGGCCATCATGGTGAAACCCTGACTCTACTAAAAATACAAAAATTATCTGAGCATGGTGATGGGCACCTGTAATCTCAGCTACTCCGGAGGCTGAGGCAGGAGAATTGCATGAACCCAGGAGGCGAAAGTTGCAGTGAGCTGAGATCGTGCCACTGCACTCCAGCCAGGTGACAGAGTGAGACTCCATCTCAAAAACAGATCATGATGCTCCCTTTCTACATTTGCCCAGGTAGAAATGAGGATTTTTTTTTTTTTTGAGGCAGAGTTTCACTCTTGTTGCCCAGGCTAGAGTGCAATGGCGCGATCTCAGCTCCCCACAACCTCTGCCTCTTGGGTTTAAGCAATTCTCCTGCCTCAGCCTCCTGAGTAGCTGTGATTACAGTCTTGTGCCACCACACCTGGCTAAGTTTTTGTATTTTTATTAGATATGGGGTTTCTCCATGTTGGTCAGGCTGGTCTCAAACTGCCAACCTCAGGTGATCTGCCTGCCTCGGCCTCCCAAAATGCTGAGATTACAGGAGTGAGCCACTGCACCCGGCGAAATGAGGACTTTTTAAGCAAAAACTTTTTAGTAGGTATATCTGTATGTTAACAGCAGCAAACAAGATACACGATGAGCTTCAAATCCCATTTCAGCGCTGGCCTCTGGCTAGGGTGTCTCTCCTGGTTCTCCAGGCAGTTGGAGTCCGGGGGCAACAAGCCTCCCTCCCAACTCACAGATGCCCTTTGGGAGGGTGCAGTGGCTGCGAGACGCACAGCAGCATTTTAGGGAGCTGAGACCTTCCGGGAAACACTCCCCATGGCTGACTTAGTGCAGAGGATGAGAACAGCTTCCACTTCTTGGGCACAGACTCTGCACATGGACTGTTTTTACTCTTCACACACCTGTCAGGCAGGGATTTGGCCCCTTCTGTGAATGAGGCGACAGGCTCAGTGGCTGAGAAACCTACCAAGGTCCCAGAGCCAGCAAGTAGCAGATCGGGGGTGAAGCCTGCTTACCCTGAGCTCCCCCCACACACTGAGCTGCCACTCACATGCTCCTGGGCACAGGGGCACCGGTCACATCCCCAGGCAGGTGGGATGGTCACTTGATCCCACCAGCCCCACGCCAGCAGAGCCTCATGGGCCACCTGTAGCTCCAGAGCCAGCCCCGAGCCAGTGGGGGTTCTCCCCACACATCATTCTGTGCCTCCTCCCTGGGCAGTAGACCCTCGCCTTTTCCAGCTCCAGTGTCCACCCAAGCGTGACCATCCAGAATCCCTCTCCTGCTCCGCCCAGCAGCCCAGGCTTCCCTGGTCCCTCATTCTCCCTTCTGCCCAGCTCCGGGCTCCCCATGAGCCTGTAGGAGGCACCTGCCTGACTTGTGGGGAAAGAGTCAAGACACCTGGTTCCCACCATGCACCTGCCACTGTGGGACTTGGCAAGTGGCTGCTGCTTTCTGAGCCTCAGTTTCCTCATCAGTAAAATGGGGAGATGAGGTCACCAGGCACCCCCCACATCCTCCCAATGCTCAGGCAACGATGGCGCTCCCAAACGTCAGGCCAAGGTTTACCGTTGCTAAGACTGTCTTCTCCGACTTGCAGGAGAGACTAACGGGCGGAATTTTCTCCGTCATCAGTTTTTCTTTTATAAAATTTCCTTCAGGTATTATTTAGTTCCTGCTGCAGCTGGAAGCCAGACACGGGGCAAATCCAGAGTTATGTACTTTAACGTGAAGGTGTTCTCTAACAACACCTGGGGCTTGCGGATGTTTTACATCCTAAGGAGCTTGAGAACCACCGCTCATGTAAATTGTGGGCTCAGTTAAACAAAGGAGACCGGCAAGAGGATCGCTACGTCTTACCTGGGAGACCTGCTGTTGAGGGTGCCTGAGACGCCAGCTCCTAACTGCAAACATGGCCACCAGAGGTGGGGGTGAGGTCCCCAAACCCCACAGGGCCTCGCTTAGACCTCCAGGGTTTCTCAGAGTGTAGCCCACGCACCCAGCCATTGGCATCAGCAGCAGCAGTGGACACCCCACCCTGACACAGCAAACTGGTGACTGCACGCAGGGCTAGGAGTCTGCCTTGTAAGGTGCCCCCTGCTGGCTTTATGCCACCTAGCATTTGAAGACTACTCATTTGACCCCCGCTCCCCTCTCTCCTAACTCACAGTGTGATGGCAGGAGACCTGGGCTCTGAGACCCTGGCAATCCCAGTGACACACACCCCTTCCAAATCTTCAGGCTGTGGCCTGTCCTCTATCCACACGATCCCAAGGAGGAGTGAAGCAAGGCAGGTGGCCATGGGGTTGAAGGTGGCTACCATGGTTGGGGGGCGGGGTGGGCATGGGAGATGGGGAGGCATTTTCAAGGGATTTCATGCAGAGCTCTTGCTTCTGGACAGGGTCTAACTCTGTCGCCCAGGCTGGAGTGCTGGCGTGAGATCACAGCACACTGCAGCTTAAAACTCCTGGGTTCAAGTGAGCCTCCCGCCTCAGCCTCCTGAGTAGCTGGGACCACAGTTGTGAGCCACCATGCCTGACAGCTCTTGCTCTTAAGTTTCCAAAATCGTGTTTTCTTTTTAACCTGGAAGTCTTTATCCAGGTGAGCCCAGTAGAAAGAGGTCAAGCCCAAAGGCCAATATTTGGCCTCCACACCCTACCTGGATCACGACGAGGTGAATCTCCAGTTCCGCAATTCTCCGCCCGATGCAGCTGCGAACCCCGTGACCGAAGGGGATGGACCCAAAATTGTCAACCCTGTCCAAGTCTCCTTTCCGCAGCCAGCGCTCGGGACGGAACTCCTTGGCCCGAGGGAAGTTCTCATCCTGGTATGATGTGGCATAGTGGCAAAGGGCCAGCTGGGTCTGAGGAAATCGGGGATGACAGAAAGGGTTAAGGAGAGGAATCACTTGATAGCAGGGCAGGGCCCAGAGCCGCAGCCAGACAGTCCCCCAGGGTGCTCCTTCCCACCTGGGGGCCGCCTGGGTCCACACACACCCAGGATGGCAGCAGCTGCCTGCCTTCCCGCTCCACACTGCACCCCACATGTCACTGCAGCCACTGAGAAGGCCATTCAAGCCCTTCAGAGACTCCCAGCAGTGACCAGCCTCTTCCACACGGACTGGGGAGGACGCCAGGGAGCACGGGCTGCCTTGCTAGCGAGCAGTTTCCAGAGCAGTGAGATCACACAGTTCCCCTCCTTTCTCCCAGCACCCCCTCTTCTTCTTAAAATACATGCAAAAGAAAAGGAAACCTATTGACTTCTGCTGAGGGACAAAGACTTTCTGAAGGTAGAGCAGGTGCCAATTCAACCCCGACCCGCAAAGCCTGGTCCCACCCCCATGGCCCCAAACTCACGCCTTTGGGAATCAGATATCCGCCAATAACCAGGTCTTCCTGGGTGACCCGGCCATTCCCTGGCAGCACTGGAAACAGCCTGGAAAGGAGCCAGTGGGGACAGGAATGATATGGTGACTTTCACAATATTTTACTGAACATTCAGAACCCTGGATATATTGCCGTTTCCAATAAAAATTCTTAAAAAGTAACACATGGTACAGTTTCAACTGAAACATTTTGCAAGGACCTTCGAGGCTTCTTTGCTGGCTTGCTTTGCCAGTGAGTATTCTGAGGAATGTGGAAAAGATTCCCAAAGCAAAATATGTGCAAAATACAAAGCCAAGCCTTTAATATGACATTGTGTTCCTAGCAGGGAAAATTCCAAGTTTCTAATATTTTCTGTGACCACAGGACCACTTTATCAAGGAATAGTTCATAGGATTTAAGGTCCCATGAAATGCATTTGGAGAAAAGATACTTCAGCCATCAGATTATCTCAGAAAATCCTGAATAAAACTTTAATTGACAAATACCCATAAACATTACAGCCGGCTCTTTTTTTTTTTTTTTTTTTTTTTTGAGATTAAATGGCATGTTATATAGGTTGAGGGTCATTATCAAATCGGCTTTGAAAGAATTCTTTAGTACATACTGCAGAAAACAGCCTTTGTTCTTCGTCACAGCATTTCTTCACAGAGGATGCTGTTTTGGGGAAGGGGTGTCATCTGTCCCCTAATCCCATCTCCCATCCAAAGCACCCCCTCAACCCAGGACAACCCACATCCCTCTGGCTTTTCTGTTTGTCAGGAAAGCCCATCTGGGATAAATGAGCCTCACTGGGTGGGTCTCAACCCAGATGAGGACATTCACACAAGTACCATGAGGTTTGTACCGAGGTCTGAAAATCAACCCAACAACCCAAACTATTTTCCTGACAAATCAATCTTGTTTCATGTTATCTTCAGAGGAACAAAATCAAAGGGCATTGACCCAGGATCATGTTGGGAAACCCCTGATGAGCCTATTGGCTAAAGCAGGGACAATATTCAATGATTGCTCCAAAGATTCTTTTTTTTTTTTTTTGAGATGGAGTCTCACTCTGTTGCCCAGGCTGGGGTGCACTGGTGCGATCTCGGCTCACTGCAGCCTCCGCCACCTGAGTTCAAGTGATTCTCCTGCCTCAGCCTCCCAAGTAGCTGGGACTACAGGTGCCCAGCACCACACTGAGCTAATTTTTGTATTTTTAGTACAGACAGGGTTCCACCATGTTGGCCAGGCTGGTCTTGAACTCCTGACTTCAGGTGATCGGCCTCAGCATCCCAAAATGCTGAGATTACAGGCGTGAGCCACCACACCCAGCCCAAAGATCTTTACAGAGAACAAGGATTATAATACCTCATAAAACAGAATGGTCTTTCTGCTTTTCCGACAAAAGCAGAGAAAAAGTAATAGTCAGGAACATCCACGTCCTAAACAGTCAGCCGTGAAGGGCAGTTGGAGGACTTGTTATGATAGAAACCAGAGACCTAAGGGACACGGTTTGTCGACAGCATCTGGCCAGGCTTTTACCTCAGGGTTTCCTTAAGGAGAGCTCTGACCAGCGGGACCTTGGGGACATCAGCTGCAGTTGGAACATGCCTTTCCCCCAAATTCCTGACGATCTCCTGGTACACTGTCTGCTGCACTTCTGGGTGCCTTGCCAGGAGATACACTGTCCAGGATAAGGTGAAGGACGTCTAATGAGAGAAAGCGGCAGACAGAGGCAGGCAATGAGTAACACCAGGGACTGACAACAGACGCAGTGGCAGGTATGTTGTCCCCTGGGAATACACAGCTGCAAAGTCAAACTCATCCAGTTCCATACAGCACTTAAGGTCTTACTGAAACGAAAGACTCTTTCCTTAATTCATGGCAGAAAATAATAATAACGAACATATTTGGAAAGTGATGTCAACTCTGTGATTCACGTGGTCCTGTCATGAAGAGCCACAGGAAAAATGATCCCGGAAGATTTTTTAATCACTGAAGAGCAGTATGTCAGGGATGCCACAGAGCCTGGAGGATCTGCTGGGACTTTGTGCGACCTTTTTTGCAGGGCTTACTCAGCTTACTCAGCATGTGCCAGAAAGGGCCTCCTGGCATCCCCAGGCCCAGGACATTGGGCCTGGCCCACTCTGGCTGCTCTGATCTAGAGATTGGAGTACACAGAAGATCACTAGTTAGCCATCATGCCCGGCCTTCATCCAAGAAGGTCCACACAGAGTAAGTCAATAGCTCATCGGTGCAATGCACTGTCATTTTTTATGCCTTTTCTCAAACCTTTCTACTTATTGAAAAGAATTATTTTATTCTCATAGATCCCAAGATTTTCACTAGAATCAATACTATCATCTATGGGACTGTACTTCACTCTCTTGTAAACAAGGAAATGCCACAGTATAAAGGCCTTTTTCTTTCACAAAAAAAAAAAAAAAAAAAACTGACTTAAACAGGCAATATTGATATCATTTTCTTGTAAAAGATACTACCTGTTTTAGAGGTCAGGCCTCCTGTATACATAATAGAATGTGTAAGCTCTTATAAATAATAAAAGATTACTTAGATGCTTCCTATCAAGGGAATAGAAAATTTCTATTAAGATCAGATTTTTATGGAAAGATGTGGTATATCCATACAATGGAATACTACTCAGTAATAAAAAAGAATCAATTGCTGTTGTATGCCTCCACATGGATGAATCCGAGTCATTCTTCTGCATGCAGGAAGCCAGATGTAAAAGATAGCATACTGTGTGATTCCATTCTCCTCAATGTTTAGAACAACGTAGCAGTGGTTTCATAAATGATTGCATCTGTCGACAATCTGTATGGCATTATTCAGCTTAAATAGATGCAGCTGACTGTGCACAAATTATGCTACAATAACATCGATTTTTAAAAATCAGTATGAAGTTGTAAGAATTTGTCCCCTGGCTTTCATTGTAGGATGCTAAAGGGAACAGCTTCCTCCTGAATGCCACTTCATTGTGATGTTCTCAGTTACCACCAGGGGGCAGGAGGCACAAGCTCAGCGACCAGGCCATTCATTCATTCCTTCACCTTTCAAGTGGTGTCTTAATTTGAGCAAACCCACGCCATCACATACGCATAGTTAATTAGAATCTTAATTGATTGTACCATTTGTTTTGCATTTAATTCAAATATTTTTGTTTTACTGTTGCACAAGATCCAAAAGAGTAAGGAGTTTATGCTCTGTGTTTTGTTTTGGTTTTTGCTTTTACATGCTTAAGTGACATTACAATAAAAATAAAGCCCTGAGATTTTTTTGTCTTTTTAAGATGGAGGTCTGTGCGGGATGTGGCTTATTCAAGGTCGGGAAGCACCCGAGCAAAGGAAAAGCTTTGCGATGATGAGCCTGGTTGTTTGGTTTTCCCACCTGTTAACGAAGTCAATGACTCCTACCTCAGAGGGAAATGGGGGGCAGGCAGGGTGTGCATAGAATGCTTTGGAAACAGCAAAGCATCACACAATCTAAATTCTCACTTTCCACCACATCACCAGAAGCACCCCAGCCCACAGCTTCCTCAGTTTCTGGCCAGAAATTTCATTATCTTCCACCTACTGAAAGCATCAGCCTAGCTTTTCCCTGTTTCGCCACTTCCTTTTAGCAAATTTTGCAACCGCTCTGCACCTGTACCTACATGGAGATCATTTTCACACTTATCCTATTAATTGTATCATATTACTCGTGTTTTTGAAAGGAACTTGTCTCCCTATCCCCCTGGACCATGCCACCCCAGCCAACCAAGAAACCCAGGTTAACTACTGAGTGTGTTCCCTCCATGCCCTGCTCTGTGTTCACACAGTCATGGACACATGTGCACATGCACATAGCCTGAGGGAGGACGGTGCCTCTGCGTCTTATTCACAGTACACGGTATACACCCTGGTCTGCCTCTTCCTTTCTCATAGGATAGCCTGTGGGTTACCCCCAGGTTAATGGGCAGTGCTCTGTCTCATTCTGACATGAACACTCCCTGGTCATGGTATATCATTGATCTGCCACACTACTGGGCTCCATTCACAGGGAATTTGTTGATGCACGCACGCATGCGCGCGCACACACACACACACACACACTCACACACACACACACACACACACACATACTCAACCAAACTGCTTACTTTCTTTACACTCTCTTTAGCAGGCAGTTCAATTGTTGCTTCAGAGCCTTTTTTTATTTCCAAATTTAAATGAAATATAATTATTGTGGAGAACTTTACATTTTTTTCCCTGAGCTATTATTTTCTTTTCATAGGAGTCTTTTTCTTGATAGGGAAAAAAACCTTAATTAGCATAAATCCTGGATGGACTTGCACTATAAATAGGCAATTCAGATTGTAGTCTTAATCAAAAAATAAATTTCTGTCAATGGAATAAAAAAAATTATAGAACAAATTAGGGGTTGAATGAAATGACTTCTTGGCTTTATAAAATGAATTCCATGGCCCAGAATATTTTAAATGAGAAATAATAAGGTTTTTAACTTTAAACGTTTATTATGACTTTGTGTGTGTGATAATGGAATTGTGGTTATGCTTTTCACAGAAATCATTATGCACCTGACCTTTAATATACAATCATGCATCGTATAATGATGTTTTGGTCAATGACGGACCAAATATACAATGGTGGTCCCATAGGATTGTAATACCACACTTGTACCGTAGCTCGTCAACGTCTGAGTATGTTTGGATACACACATCCTTAGCACTGTGTTTCAGGGGCCTGAAGTGGCCTACAAGCAGTAGGCTGCACCACGCAGCTTAGCTGTATGGTAGGCTACCATCTAGGCGTGTGCAAATACACTCTTAGATGTTTGCGCAATGACAGGGCCACCCAACAATGCATTTCTCAGAACAAATCTGCGTCATTAAGTGACACATGACTGCATATGCAGAGTTTTCTCCTCCTAGAGCCCCTCAGCCGTGCAGTAGGCCCAGTACAAACATGAACAGTACGCTAAACAAATCTGCCTTAAAAGTAGACAACGGCTGGGCACAGTGGCTCACGCCTGTAATCCCAGCACTTTGGGAGGTCAAGGCGGGTGAATCACCTGAGGCCAGGAGTTCAAGACCAGCCTGGCCAACATGGTGAAACCCCGTCTCTACTAAAAATACAAAAAATTAGCTGGGTGTAGTGGCAGGCGCCTGTAATCCCAGCCACTCTGGAGGCTGGGGCAGGAGAATCTCTTGAACCTGAGAGGTGGAGGTTGCAGTGAGCCGAGATTGTGCCATTGCACTCCAGCCTAGGCAATAGAGCAAAACTCTGTCACACACACACAAAAAAGGTAGAAAACATCGATGAGATGATGAAGAAGGGGTTATCGTGCGTTGCTTGTTGAGACCCAGGACCCCCAGACTCACCGTGTCGACGCCGGCCAGCAGCATCTCGGTCACATTGGCGTATATCTCCTGTAGCGTCAGCGCCTGGCTAAGGAAGAGGTATGTGAGAAGTCCCCCGCTCACCCTCTGGCCTCGGTCCATTTGGTACTGTATGTCCCTCAACTTGTTGTCAACATGAATTTGGCCTGTTTGAAAGGAGTTTGGGTTGAGAATCATCTTTTCGGTCTCTGTCCTCCCAGGAACTTAACTAAACCAGTAGCAAGGAAACCTAATTTATCTAATGTCAGCCTGGGAGCTTCACTCATGCACTTGCTTATGTAAATGAATGAAAAGTTAAAAGACAAGCTAAACATACCTTCCTTTTTAAAAACAAGCTGTAAGATATTTGCAGATGTTTGCTTTACTAATCCGATAGCCAAAGAAATTATTTATATAATATGAGTAACAAAAATGCAAACGCTTTTTTTTCTAGCACACTTCCAGAAGAAAAAATGAGTGGAGGGGAAAATGCCAGGCATTCTTATCTGTTTGTTACCATTTAGTACAGACTTCAGGACTCATGTACTCAAATAAATGTTGATTTTCTTTTTCTGTGGCCCAGGCTGGAATGCAGTGGCACCATCTCGGCTCACTGCAACCTCTTCCTCCCGGGTTCAAGCAATTCTCCTGCCTCAGCCTTCCGAGGAGCTGGGATTACAGTCATGCACCACCATGCCAAGCTACTTTACGTACTTTTAGTAGAGACGCGGTTTTGCCATGTTGTTCAAGCTGGTCTTGAACTCCTGACGTCAGGTGATCTGCCCACCTCGGCTTCCCAAAGTGCTGGGATTACAAGTGTGAGCCACCGTACCTGGCCTAAATGTTGATCTTGAAAAGACACCATGAAACACTTTTTCAGTGTTAGCATTGCTCTAGAGCATTGTTCTAAGCATTCTGAAAATCACTTCTTTCTTTTTGGAAATGCTTTTATAGTAAAATTTTTAGTCATGTAAGAAAATGAATCTCTCTGTAATCTCACCTTGGATTTGAACAGAAATTGTAATGTTCAAATGAATGTTCATGGGCCTGAAACTCTACATTTTAAACACTGACCCATTTATTTGGACTAAAGACATCATCTCACATTTACTTGTGTGTGTCCCTGCTAGCATGCTTGTTAAAATAAAACTTGTTTTAAAATGAAAAATTGATCATGTTTCTTGTAGTCACAACCCACATGCTTTTTGCTTCTTTAAAAAACAAATCCATGGCTGGGTGCAGTGGCTCACACTTGTAATCCCAGAATTTGGGGAGGTCAAGGTGGGCGATTACCTGAGGTCAGGAGTTCGAGACCAGCCTGGCCAACATGGTGAAACCCCGACTCTACTAAAAATACAAAAAAATTAGCCGGGGGTGATGGTGGGTACCTGTAATCCCAGCTACTCGGGAGGCTGAAGCATGATAATCGCTTGAACCTAGGAGGCAGAGGTTGCAGTAAGTTGAGATCACACCACTGCACTCCAGCCTGGGTGACAGAGTGAGACTCCATCTCAAAAAAAAAAAAAAAATCCAAAGTTATAGGTCCAAAAACCAACACATGACTACATGTAAGCCTCCTCTGCTGTGGATGAGAGTTAGAAACATGACATGGCAGGTCAGCCTGCTTCTGCAAATGGTGGTCTCAATTCTTCTCTTACTGAATTTGAAGAGTCCATCCCAGGATCTGCAGAATTCCCGCCAGGGCTTTGGGATGAAGGGACGAAGCCATCTGGGGATGGCGCCTGCGTACATGGAGGTTTTGAACATGCTAAACATGAGCTCCAGAGCCTCGATGTATTCCACAGTGAGCTGTGGGACGTTGTTTTCCAGGCAGCCCAAACGACTCTCATAAAGAATGGTGGCCACTCCTAGACGGGAAAGAGAATTTGAAAACCCTCTTCTAGATTATTACCAAAGCAGCAGGCAACATCGGGCCATAAACGCAACTTTCAAATGTGGTCTAGGTGCCTTTCATGAATGTGGCATCATCACTCAGGATTTCTCTGCGTCCTGAGCTGCAGGGTGCTCTGAGGATTTCTCTGCATCCTGAGCTGCTGGCATTTAGGGCTGACGGACGGTGCTATTGCTGCTTCATCTAAGGAGCCCCACAGCCCTGGGAGACACAGATGAAGAAGCCCACTCTCCGGAGGAGATGCGAAGGCTCCGAGAATTTAAGTAGTTTGGCCAAGGCTGCAGAGGACCCTGGGAGAGGATTGGAGCAGAGGTCTGAAAGGATGAGCCTTTAGGGAGGGGACATCGTTTAGCCTCTCACTGCTCTCCCCTGACACCCTCCTTTCAGGAAGGAGGTGGCAAACCCCACAGGACCTCTTCCTGCCCCACCTGTCCACTGGGGATCGCCTTCCAGCCACTTGCCCAGCCCGAGGAACTGAAAAGTGGCTCCTTCTGGCCAAAATGGGAAGCCCAGACCCAGAGAGCTAAAGGCGCAGCAGAAGTGGCCTGGATCCGGGTTGGGCAGAGGTGCACACTGTGTTTACCATTCCTTCCCGGATGATTTTGTTACTATGTTTAGAGAACATGAATATTGGAACTCTGCCAAGTTACTTTGAGTGAAACTTGAAGGTAAACTTTTTCTTAAAAAAAAGATGAGAAAGCTGACAGAAGGTCCTCCAAGATGCATCTTTTTTTTTTTTTTTTTTTTTTACACAAACTTCACCCTTTTAGACCTGGGTGTTTTTTTTTTTTTTTTTTTTTTGAGATATGAGTTTTACTCTTGTTGTTGCAATGGTGCAGTCTCAGCTCACAGCAACCTCTGCCTCTTGGGCTCAAGAGATTCTCCTGTCTCAGCCTCCCAAGTAGCTGCCACCATGGCCTGGCTAATTTTTGAATTTTTAGTAGAGACAGGGTTTCATCATGGTGGCCAGGCTGGTCTCGAACTCCTGAACTCAGGTGATCTGCCCGCCTCGGCATCCCAAAGTGCTAGGATTACAGGTGTAAGCCACAGCGCCTGGACCCAAGATGCATTCTTAAGAGAAAGCACAGGGCAGAATAGTGTGTGTGGTGTGCTGCCATTTATTGTTTAAAAATAAAAAGAATATTCCCATGCATTTTTCTGTATGTGCATAAAACATCTCTTGACACATACATGAGAGACTACTGATCTTCGCTGCATTCAGGAAAGAAGGAGACCTTCACTGAACCTTTTGGTATTGCTGTTTGAACAGGAATGTATCACCCATCCAACATGACTAAAAGCTAGAGCAAGTTTGAAGTAAATGCCCTCTAAAATTTGCTCCTTTCCAAAAAGTGTCGTAGTGAGGAACATGGATTCTCAAGTTTAAAAGACCTGAATTTGAAACTGACTCTAAGAAGAGGGATGGGGGCGTGCCGTTGGGAAGTTATTCCTTAAGTCTCAGTTTCCTCACCGGTCAACGGTGGTTCACACCAGCGTCACGCTAGCACCGTGGGAGTGATGTGCATGTATGTCCCAGACTTAGCACAGTGCCTGGGACCCAGGGGATGCTCCATGATGACATCTGCTGGCTGGTTTGAGGCAAGCGTCCATTCCTCCCTCCTTCCCGCCTGACTCCGCCTCACCTTCCATTGAATATTTGAAGAAAAGGTCATTGACATTGGTCACGGTTTCTCCATCTTCTGCCTGGCTCCTGAGGAGGTAGATTCTTTTAATTAAGTCATTAATAACTTGGTTGACTTCTCCAGAATAAATGGCCACATCTTTTGGTTTCAGAATTCTCTGTCTCAGTACGCTTCTCATCTTGAGCCACTGTTCACCCTCCCTAGGAGAATAAAGTGAGTTTCAAATCATCTTACTCACGCTAACATTCTGGGAAAGAATTCAAGGAACCCCTGAGAAAAATTTTCAGCCATAAAGAATGCACAAGATCTGCCAGTCAAAGTGGAATTAAGACAGGAAAGATTTTTTGCTGGGGAGAGAGGAATTATAATTGCAGCCCTGGAGCCTGTTAGAGCTTGGTACACTCTTGCCTTTGAAGCAAACTTTAAGGAAAAAAACTACCAGTAGTAATCATCTTCAGCAAAAGTGATATGACTTCCTTTGAAAATTCTTGAAGTAATATTGTAATAAAGAAATGAGATTGCTGATTAGCAAAAGAGAAAAAAGTGCATATGTATGGATATATAAATGCAGTAAGTATTGGTATGAGAAAAGAAATAGTGACTGCAGCCAGGGTGTGGGGCCTTGGAGCTCCTGGCTGCTCTCGGAGAGCGCCCAGGTAGCAGGCCGAGCACACTCCTCCCCACTGAGGACAGGGCGCTGAGAGAACCCCTTGGAGGTCTGAAGAGTGTTCTGCAGTTTCTCAGAGGGTCATGGTGGGACTGAGCCTCAACTGCCAAGCGTCACCCACACCTCCACACCCCTGGGTGGCTTCCCTCCCATCCCTGCCCCGCTTCCCACCTGCAGAGAGGCCACTTGCTCTCAAAGCTTCACCTCCAGATCAGCTTTGGGGGACTGAAGCTAAGCCAGCACGTGTCTGGGTCTGGGCACTGCCCTTCCCTTTGCTATCCACTGTGCTGAAGTCACCAGAACCGCCTCACTCCATCTCAGCCCAAGAGGGCCTCCGGGCACCCACCCAGGCTTCTTAGCCTGCAGCTGAGGGGGTAGGCAGCAGAGAAATTCTGCCTCAGCCTTCGGGCCCTCTATGCCTGAACATCCAGGAGGTACTGTTTAATTATTTCCCTCAGGACGGAAATTAAGGGACCCTGGTGACATCTGGTCGTGATTCTTATTTTACCTTACTTGAGAAATTGGTGGCTGTATTTCTCCCCAATTCATGTATAAGGACATAGATATAAAAAGAGCTGCTAACCGAAGCCCCGCCCCATGGAAACCGGACCAGGGCATCTGCAGGCGCCCTGGGCCTCCCTGCCTGGCCACGGGCCACGATCTCTTTCTTGGAAGGCACAGAGGTGTTGGTGATGCTGGTTCAAAATGAATAATCACAGCCGGCTATGAGACAGGAAAATCGCCGCGTGGCGACTACGGCTGGAGGTTCTTAGCCCCTCCTCAAAGGGATTTTCCTGAAATAGTGACCACCTCCTTCCCCTGCGCACAGGCAAGGGTGCCGTGAGCTTTGACTGCCTCGTTTGTCACTGAATGGACACCCAAAGCCACAAAGCACTGCTTCAGAAGCGCTCTGCCCGCCACCAGGCCAGTGTCACCCCACCTGTCTCCCGACCCACAACTCGGCACAAAGGAGGAGACAGCCCAGCAGGGCCGCGCGGCCCCCGTGTCCGCGAGATCACGCAGGGAGGCTGTCTGACATCATTCCACCGGGGTTTCTGTGCTTTTTTAAGAGCGGCTTTTGGGAACCCAGCTTTGGAGGAGGGGGCCTCTCCCTGAGCTCCCCGTCCAGCCCCTGGCTCAGCCGGCCCCCCATACTCACGCCGAGATGAGCCCGGCGGCTCTCCCCCGCAAGTCTCGGTACTCCCGCCAGGACTCCATGTTGGCTCTCTGGGGCGCGGCGCCCTCCGCCCGGAGCACCTGAGCCACCATGTCGCGGTCTGCAATAGATACTACAAACTGAGGACCAAAGTGAGACTTGAAGATTTTTCCATATTCCCGTGTGTGCTTCTGCTGCAATACCATGGAGAAATCAAAAAAGGAAAAAATACATAGATATGATATACCTTTAACGTAAACATCCCTGTGTGCTAGAGGAGCAGAAAGTTGGGGCAGAGGGAAGTGCTAATACAGATCTGAGTCAGAGCAGTAACTTACATACTGCTGAAATAAACATGTTTTCACATAACCATCTCTTTTGTGTGTGTTTGTTTGTTTGTTTTTGTTTTTTGAGACAAGGTCTTGCTCTGTTGCCCAGGCTGGAGTGCAGTGGCATGAACATAGCTCACTGCAGCCTCCAACTCCTGGGCCCAGGCCATCCTCCCACCTCAGCCTCCCAAGTAGCTACGACTGCGGGTACACACCTCCACGCCCAGCTAATTTTTTATTTTTTGTAGAGACAGGGATTTTTCAATGTTGCCAGGCTGGTCTCGAACTCTTGGCCTCAAGTGATCCTCCTGCTTCAGCTTCCCAAAGTGCTGGGATGACAGGCATGATCATGGAAGTTTTCTTATTCTTTAGGGATTTCTTAAAACTACCTTAGCTGTGTGAAGCAGCAAGAGAGAAATGTCATTATAAGAGACAAATGTGCAGAGCAAACAGAGCGCTGTCTGCCGACCCCTTCCCATGGGCCCAATAGCTCTGCCTAAGCAGTGCCCAGCCTACTCTGCAGAGCAAGCCCTCTGTGTACAATCTGTAACGAACCTCTAAAACTGACTTCCAGGAAGAAAATGAAGGAAAAGGCATTTGGATTGGGAAGGGAGAAGTCAGGTTATCTCTGTTGGCAGATGACATGATCTCCCATATAGAAATCCTAAGGAACCCACTTAAAAACTATTAGAGATAATAAACAAGTTCAATAGGACGCAAAATCAATATACAGAAATCAATTGTATTTCTATACACTAATGGTGAACAATCCAAAACGAAATTTGAAAAACAATTGAATTTACAATAGCATTTAAAAAATAAAATACTTGGCCGGCTGCAGTGGCTTATGCCTGCCTGTAAGCCTAGCACTTTTGAGAGGCTTAGGTGGGTGGATGGCTTGAGCCCAGGAATTTGAGATCAGGTATGGCAACATGGCAAAATTCCGTCTCTTAAAAAAAAAATGCATGGCTAGATGTGGTGGCTCATGCCTGTACTCCCAGTGCTTTGGGAGGCCAAGGTGGGCAGATCACCTGAGGTCAGGAGTTTGAGACACGCCTGGCCACGATGGTGAGATCCTATCTCTAATAGAAATACAAAAATTAGCCAGACGTGGTGGTGTGCACCTGTATTCCCAGCTACTCAGGAAGCTGAGGCAGGAGAATGACTTGAACCCAGGAGGCAGAGGTTGCAATGAGCTGAGACTGCACCACTGCACTCCAGCCTGGGTGACAAGAGTGAAACTCTGTCTCTAAATAAATAAATAAATACACACACACACACACACACACACACACACACACACACACACACATTTTAATTAGCTACTGCAGAGTAGCTAACATATATATATATATATATATATATATATATATATATATTTTTAGCTACTCCAGAGGCTGAGGTGAAAGGATCATGTGAGCTCAGGAGGCAGAGGTTGCAGCGAGCAATGATTGTATCATTGCACCCGGGCCTGAGTGACAGGGCAAGACCCTGTCTCAAAAAAAATATAAAAGATAAAATACCTAGAAATAAATGTAACAGGAGAAGTGTAAAATTTATACTCTGAAAACTACACAACATTGTTTAAAGAAATCTAAGAAGTCTGAAATAAATGGCAAGGCATCCCATGTTCATGGCTTGGAAGACTTAATATTGTTGAGTTAGAAATACATCCCAAAGTGATATATAGATTCAGCACAATCTCTGTCAGAATTCCAGTGGGCTTCTTTGTAAATATTGATAAACTGATCCCAAAATTCATATGAAAATGCAAGAGACCCAGAATAGCCTAAACAATCTTGAGAAAGAACAAAGCTAGTGAACCCCATTTTCTTGTTTTAAGACTTAGTACAGGGGGAGGGGCCAAGGTAGCAAACTAGAAGCAGTGGCGCTCAGAGGCTCCCATTGAAAAAAACATAATAAGCATGTGAGTCCTTCACTGGCAACCAGGGAATCCGGGTTCTCTCATCAAAATTGACTAGAAGGCTGGTGTAAGCCACGGAGAGAAGGAAGAACAGTGTGGTGTGGAGGCCCACCTGAGAGCCGCGTGGGGAAGAGGAATCCCCTGCCCCCAGCCAAGGGAGGTGGTGAGTGAGCCCGCTACCCAGCCGGGGAAACTGCTTTTTCCACAGAACTGAGCCACCCACAGATCGGAAAATCCCACTCTCAAACCCGTCCCACCAGAGCCAACCATCCCAACCCTCCCTGGTACACACCAGTTCTTACAGCCTCTCAGCTGGAATCTGCTTAAGCCTACTGAACTCCCGATGGGAATGGTGACCAGCACCAGTGGCAGCTGGTAGTTCTAAGGAATCTGGGCAACCCAAACTAGTGGGTTTTCCCACAGCAAAACTCACCCTCTCCACCAAGGGACAAAGTGCTTCGTTAAATGGGTCCTGCTCCCTGTGCCACCCAACTGGGTGAGACCCTCCAAAAGGGGTTGTAAGACACCCTGTATAGAAGCAATCCTACTGGCATCAGGCTGGCGCCACTTGAGGTCAGAGGTCCCAGAAGAAGGAGCAGGCACCCATCTTTGCTGCTCTCCAGCCTCCTTGAGTGACATCTCCATGCACAGGAGCAAATCAGATAATCAAATAAATAGGGCCTGAAGTGAACCCCCAGCAAACCGCAGCAGCCCTACAGAAGAGGGACCTGACTATTGAAAGAAAAACAAACAAGCAGAAAGTGACAACAACAGCATCAATAACAACAACAAAAAGGCCCCCACAAAAACCCCATCCAAGGGTCAGCAGCCTCAAAGACCACAACTAGACAAACTCACAAAGATGAGAAAGAATCAGTGAAAAAATGCTGAAAACCCAAAAGGCCAGAGTGCCTCTTCTCCTCTAAATAATCACAATGTCTCTCTATCAAGAGCACAGAACTGGACAGAGGATCAAATGGACGATTGACAGAAGTACGCTTCAGAAGATGGACAATTAAAAACTACAATGACCTAAAGGAGCGTGTTCTAACACAGTGCAAAGAAGCTAAGAACTTTTATAAAAGGTTAGAGGAATTGCTCACTAGAATAACCAGTTTAGAGAGGAACATAAATGACCTGATGGAGCTGAAGAACACAGCATGAGAACTTTGTGAAGCATACACGAATATCAACAGCCAAATCAACCAAGTGGAAGAAAGGACATCAGAGTTTGAAGACCACTTTACTGAAATAAGACATGCAGACAAGAATAAGGAAAACAGAATGCAAACGAATTAACAAAGCCTCCAAGAAATATGGGACTTCCTAAAAAGACCAAACCTACAATTGATTGGAGAACCAGAATAAGAAAGGGAAAATGGGAACAAGCTGGAAAACACACTTCAGGGTATGATCCAGGAGAACTTCTTCAATCTGGCAAGACAGGCCAACATGCAAATTCAGGAAATACAGAGAACACCATTAAGATATTCCACAAGAAGATCAGCCCCAAGGCACATAATCATCAGATTCTCCAAGGTCAAAATGAAGGAAAAAATGTTAAGAGCAGCCAGAGAGAAATGCCAGGTCACCTACAAAGGGAAGCCCATCAGACTAACAGCAGACCTCTCAGCAGAAAGTCTATAAGCCAGAAGAGATTAGGGGCCAATATTCAACATTATTAAAGAAAATAATTTTCAACCCAGAATTTCATATCCAGCTAAACTAAGCTTCATAAGTGAAGGAGAAATAAAATCCTTTCCAGACAAGCAAATGCTGAGGGATTTTGTTCCCACCAGGTCTCCCATGCAAGAGTTCCTAAAATAAGCACCAAATATGGAAAGGAAAAACCAGTACCAGCCACTGCAAAAACATACCAAAATATAAAGACCAATGACAGTACAAAGAAACTGCATCAACTAATGTGCAAAATGAGCAAATAGCATCATGATGAAAGGATCAAATTCACACATAATACTAACCTTAAATGTAAATGGGCTAAATGCCCCAATTAAAAGACACAGACTGGCAAATTGGATAAGAAGTCAAGACCCATTAGTGCACTGTATTCAGGAGACCCATCTTACATGCAAAGACACGCTGAAAATAAAGTGATGGAAGAAAATTTACGAAGCAAGTGGAAATCAAAAAAAAAAAAAAAAGAAGAAGCAGGAGTTGCAATCCTAGTCTCTGACAAAACAAACTTTAGACCAACAAAGATTAAAAAAAAAAAAGGGCATTACATAATGGTGAAAGGAACAATTCAACAAGAAGAACTATTCTGAATATATATGCACCCAATACAGAAGCACCTAGATTCATAAAACAGGTTCTTAGAGACCTACAAAGAGACTTAGACTTCACACAATAATAGTGGGAGATTTTAACACTCCACTGTCAATATTATTAGACAGATCAACAACACAGAAAATTCACAAGGATATTCAGGACTTGAACTCAGCTCTGGATCAAGTGGACCTAGTAGACGTCTACAGAACTCTTTACCCCAAATCAACAGAATATACATTCTTCTCAGTGCCACATGGTGCTTATCTAAAATTGACCACGTAATTGGAAGTAAAACACTCCTCAGCAAATGTGAAAGAAAGAAATCAAAACAGTCTCTCTGACCACAGTGCAATCAAATTAGATATCAGGATTAAGAAACTCAATCAAAAGCACACAATTTAATGGAAATTGAACAACCACAACCTGCTCCTGAGTGACTCCTGAGTAAATAATGAAATTAAGGCAGAAATCAAGAATTTATTTGAAACCAATGAGAACAAAGAGACAATGTACCAGAATCTCTGAGACACAGCTAAAGCAGTGTTAAGATGGAAATTTATAACACTACATGCCCATATCAGAAAGCCATAAAGACCTCAAATTGACACCCCAACATCACAATTAAAAGAGCTAGGGAGGCAAGAGCAAACTA